AAAGTGATTTGCAAGAGGTATAACCGGTTGACATATTTGGCCTACTAACTTATTCATTGTTTCGTTCAAAGTATTTAGTTGTTTGGCCATATTGTCATAGTGTGCATTCTCATTTTGGGTAAATCTTTCCATATTATAAATATTTCGAAGATTTACCTGTTCAACAACGTCTTGTGTGAGTTCTCCAAGTAATGCATACATGGTTCGAGGACTCAATTCCGTCATTAGTTAATAACGACTATTACTACTCTGATTCTGTCCATCTGTTCGTGGAGAGGCATGCTGCTCCTCATATCGTTCAATCACAAACTGGACTCCTCCCTGACTTGCTGCTTCCTTATCGGATCTCTGAGGCATATTGTTTCACCTTTTGTACTTTCAACACCAAACACCACTGTCCCACTGGGCGTGCCAAATTGTTTCGCGCGGGTTAGTCGCTAACAATTAAAAGGGATCAGACGATTGTGTAAGGGACAAACCTCTTGAGAACAAGTCCCAAAAAGGAGTGTTCTTTTATTGGCGATGACTTTACAATTGGAAATTAAAAACAAAGTGCCTCCAAGGGGCGCAAGCACACGAGTTACTGAAAAAAGTGTTTAAGTCTAAATTAAGGAAATTAAAATTACATGTTCTCGGTTCGAGAGTTTTTTATTCGATCCTTTGCTCTATGTCTTTTCTCCCCTTTATATTTCAAGGACGATCTCTTTGTGATCAACCGCCTAAAAACTGCTTGATCGTTCTGCAACTGCCCACTTTCCTTATAATGGCCAGCTTGTCATGAAAACTGCCTTATTTAACTGCTGCCATTACTCTTCGTCGTTCAACCGTTTTCGATTGAATTCCTTGAATCGTGGAATGTGATGGGGCTGCTTTACTAACTGCTTTGATAACTGCACTTCTTGATAACCACAACGCTTTATATTTGTTAAGACTTTAGGCGACTTGAAAGTTTTGACGAGAATAAAGTAATAGCTCTGGACGACTGCATGGCACTCCATTCGCTCAAATTCTAGGCGACTTGCAATCTTGGGCGATGGCGTTACCACGTTCTTGGGCCTTCATCTTGAATTGTTTGATTGAGCTTCGTTCTTTGGGCTATCTGATTTAGGGATTCTCCAATTGGGCTTCATTCCTTGGGCCGTTCGATTTGGGCTGAATTTTTATGTGTCAACAGATTGGCTGGAATGGTAAAATTATGGTAAAAAAATCAATTTTTGGGAGAAAAAATCACTTCCCAACAAGCTCTTTATGAATTGGATTTTGATTGTGATTGTGATGTTAGGAGTTTAGGTGATCTATGAACTTGTGACAGATTTTGATTGTGATGTTGGGTGATTTTGTAAATTGAATTGTGATGTATTGACGTGGTGGTGGTTCTGATATTGATTGTGGTGGTAATGCTGGGGTTGGATTGCATTGAATTGTGGTCGTATACACCGCGGTGTTGTTGGCGGTGCAAAGGGTGGTTCTGGTGCTAGGTTTGGATTGAGTTTGAATTGTATAAACATGGTTTGTGGCCAATAAATTGGGTTAATCCGTGATTTAAAAAATAATGTGACAAATAAAATAGTTGTAATATTCATACAATAACTTGTGATCTGTGACATATGAACTGATAACTTGTTTCATATCTTTGTGCACTTGTTATAGGCCACAAATTAAATAGAATTGGTTGCAGATTATTGATCTATGTTAATAGGTAAATATTAATTGGTCACATGTTATAGTTCACAAGTCACAATTCATGGGTCATATTGTATAGGTCACAGATAACTTGTCACATGTCTTTATGCACTTGTTACAGATCACAGATAAAATATAATTGGTTACAAATTATTAATCTATGTTCATAAGTCTATATTAATTGGTCACGTGTTATAGTTCACATGTCACAATTCACATGTCATACTGTATAGGTCATAGGTATAATTTATACGTCAATATTAATTGATCACAGACTATAATTCATAGGTCACAAGTTATAATTTTATAAGTTACATGTCATGTTGTATAGGCCATAGATGTTCACAAATCATAAGTTATAGTTCACATATCAATATTAATTGGTCATAGTTCACAAGTCACAAGTTATAGTTCATAGGTCAGAGATAACTATTCACAAATTACAGGTCATATTGTATATATTACAGATGTTCACAAGTCACTGATCAGAGTTCATAGGTCAATATTAATTGATTACAGATTATAGTTTACAAGAAACAGGTTACCACTATTCATAGGTAACAGATCAATGTCTACATGTCATAGATTATAGTTCATAAGGCCACTGGAACAGTATCAGAAGCAACGAATCAATGTAAATTCAAGAGAATGATCGCATGTCATTAATTTCTCCAAACTTATCACAAATTCAATCAACCAAATTTCAGCAGTGAAAATTGAAGTTATTTGACCCGGATGAGTACTTTTTAAATTGTTCTAGGGACTATTTTTCAATTTTCAATTTCTAAAATATAAATTTAAATTACACCAGC